AGTCGGCAAGCATTTGTGCCGCTTGGCTGATGTTTGGTGTTATTAAAACAATGTCATCAGCAAAGCGGAGGTGGTGTAGTTGCCGACCATCTATCTTCACTCCCATTCCTTCCCATTCCAGTCGTCGCATGATGTTCTCGAGGGTGGCACTGAAGAGTTTCGGTGAAATGGTATGACCCTGCCGCACCCCTCTCTTGACATCAACGATCACTTCTTTGTAGAATGGTGAGATCCTGGTAGTGAATCCGCAATACAGCTCACGGAGGATCCTGATGTATTGGGCTTGAATGCCCTGATTGGCTAGGGCTTCAATGACCGCTTCCGTCTCAACAGAATCAAAGGCCTTCTTTAAATCAATGAACGTTAAGCAGAGCGGCATCTTGAACTCCCGAGAAACCTCAATGAGCCTGGTTATCGTGTGGATATGGTCGATGGTGCTGAATCCTTTGTGGAACCCTGCTTGCTCGCATGGTTGTCCTTCATCTAGTGTTCTGCCAATCCTATTCAGGATGACTCGAGTTAACAACTTGTAGATGACAGACAATAGGCAGATCGGGCGATAGTTGCCAATATCATGGATGTCTCCCTTCTTGAACAGTAGTACGGTCCTGCTGGTTTTCCATTGGGACAGAAGCTTGCATTCAGACAGGTAGCATGTGAAGAGCCGAGCCAGTGTATTGATGAGTACTGACAGCAGGTTCTTCAGGTGTTCAGGTCTGACCTTGTCTGGGCCGGGTGCTGTTTGTTTCTTTACCGACGAAATGGCGTGTCGGATTTTGGAAGGGAGAACGTTGGGAACGACATACCCATCCTGTGGAATTTGGTATGTCGGCAAGTGGACCTGGCTATCGAAGAGATTTGAGTAGAAGTCATGGATAATCTTCTCCATTGCTGTTCTGGAGGATGTGATGGATCCATCAGGACGTCGGAGGGCAGTCATCTTGGTCTTATAGTTGGCGAAGGACAGGCGGGCGCTACGAATACTTTTCCCGGCTTCTGCCGCATCTACCAGTACTTCTGCTCTTCTCTCTTTGAGGTCTTCCTTGATCGCATCTCTGCACTGCTTTGCGAGCTCGGACATTAGCTTGCGGTTGCCTGAGGCATGCGCCAAACCACGCTGGCGAATTAGCTCAAGAGTTTTCGAAGATAGGCGACTTTTTGTGGCTATCTCTCTCTTGGCGTTCCTCGCACATTCATGGAGGTGCTGAACCAGTCGATCGTATTCCTCGTCAATGTTGTCAACAATGGCATCTTCCCATGTTGCCGCAATGGTACCAAAGAGTTCCCAGTTGGTGGTCATTCTGGGAGTTCTCTTTTTGAACTTTGCAGCCCTTTCTCCCCGCTCTGTGAAGTAGAATTTTGCACGAAGGAGACGGTGGTCCGATCCCGTTCGAAATTTTGGGACAACAGCGACATCAGTCAGGCAAAACCGTCGATTGAATATGATGTGGTCTATTTCATTGTGGAATCATCCACCGGGAGACTCCCATGTCCATCGTTTAGATTCTGCCTTCTGGAACTGTGAGTTACCATGAATGGTCTTGGTCGACATGATGAACTCAGACAGTCTCTCACCCTGTTCGTTCCATTCTAGGCCGTGGGTCCCGATGTGAAGTTCTTCAGCTGATCTTCTCAGTCCTATCTTGGCATTAAAATCACCCACAATGATCTTGTAGAAGGTGTGGTCTTCTTTATAGAACTTCTCTAGCTCCATGTAGAACTTCTCGATTTCTCTTTCATCATAATGAGATGTTGGTGCGTAGACAACGAAGATAGAAACTGCAGGCAGTGAGCCACATCTATTCAGTTGGAGTTAATAAGATGAAATAAATTTGCTATATGCCCACCTAGGGGACAGGCTTGGGGTGGAAGGAACCTGGGGATATTAGTGGAGAGAGAGGGGCACTGGTGGTGGGATTGGCGCTGGAACATTATATGCCTGAAACAATTCTATTATGAACAACCTTGCACATCATGGAGTCTCAGGAAACTAAAAGGTAAAAAATGAACACACACAAAGCTTCAACAGTAGAATCAAGTAAGAAATAAATTAACAGAAAGATAACAAGCTCCTGAACCATTATGGTAGCTTAAAGTATCTTGGCCTTGTCTAAGTATTTAAGGATGATCTCCTATGATAATCATGAACTTGACCAGATCAGTAGGTACAGTCCTATATTAATATCTTATACCTCTACTCAACTATTCTGTTATCTCAACTATTCTGTTATCCACTTAAGGACCAGAATAGAAAAATAGCCCCGGTGATCATTCCTTTGTATTGGATGGCTACAGCGCAGATATGATATAAATTTATAATATATTCTAACCCCAATTCTAAAACCAGCATTAAGCTACTGAAAAAAATAGAAGGATTGATAAAAAGGATTGTAAAATCTGCCTGATTTTAGCATGACTCTTCTTTCTCTAATTATTGCCATGACTAGCAGTGAGAAATGTAATGTCTATGCTTGCTTGTCTTTGTATTAAATACTAGTTAGGCTTAAAATGAGGGAATCAAGGAGATACAGAGTTCACTTAGATCATAAAAGCTGCTGAAAGCAAGTAGATTTCACAGTCTGAAAACAAACAGTGGACTTCAATGCCAGCATCTACAGCTATGTTTGCACATGGTATATTCTTGTATGTTGGCACTTCATCTTTAAATCCATCATTTAAAGATTTTATCTTTTAATCCAGGATTCTGGCTCAGGACGCAGGGAGAGGGTGACCCATTAGTGCAGAGGAAGAGCTGACTTTTTCTAATTCCCTCATCGTTTCCTGATTCTCAGAGTGAACCTGTTGCTACCGTACTCTGAAACTGATTCCTATGCCACCTTTCCCCTCCCAATAAGGACATAAGCAATATTTTCTTAGGGAATCTTTCCTCCAAAACCAAAATTGATCCCAAAATGGATCCAGCAACTTGCTTTTAACTTCACCTTAGCAGCGTTTGTCACTCTACTTCTAAAATAGTTTGCTCTAACATAATTAGACTGTATGCGGCAGGAAAAAACAACCAAGCCTTTTATCTAATGTAGAGTAAACAAACTTAACCAAACCCCTCCTTGTTGCCTGCTATTCAGTCAATAATCAATAAATTTCTTTCTTTTATAATTTTTAGTTTGTAGGCTTGCTCAGGGTATTTCCAGTTTAGTGTTAAAGAGTTGTTCTCAGTAGGGCTAAGGGTATTATGTAGTGGTGCAACCAAATTTAGGACCTCACACAAGCAAAGTAAGTTGCTCTAACATTGAATTGCACTCCCAGAAATTGAACTAATTTTTCTTTCTCTCCTTCCATCCCCCTTCCTCCCTCCCTCCCTCCCCATCTTTCTTTCCCTCCCTCCCTTCCTCCTTCTCTTTATCCATCCCTTTCCCCTTTTTCTTTCTCTCCTTCCTTCCTTCCTTCCTTCCTTCCTTCCTTCCTTCCTTCCTTCCTTCCTTCCTTCTTTCTGTCTTTCTTACCACACCCAGAAGTTCTCAGTGCTTGCTCCTGGCTCTACTCTCAAGGATCACTCTGTGTAAAACAAGTACCCTACACTCTGTACTAACTCTAACCCTTGAACAAGCTCTCTGACTTCTAGATTTCTATTTTATAAATCATAATTACCATAATACTGGAAAATATATCTATTATATTTACATTTAAATTATATAAAAATATAAGAGTAACATTATAATTAATCTGTAGCTAAAAGATACCCCCAGCCCCATGACAAAGCAAACTGTATTTTCTGAGAATGAAACTTAGAACATATGTGCTAATACAAAGACCTCTAATATTGTAGGATTCCTTTAATATCTTTAGCTATAAGAATAATTTATAGTAATTAGTATTTATATAGTGTATTATAGTGCATTATAATATGTTTTATAGTGCACATTATCTCTTTGATATTCACAATTATTCTGAGGTGGGTATTATTATTTCCAATTGGTGATGTGGAAACTGAACCATAAAGCAATAAAATGGCTTATCCGAGGTCACACAGCCAGTAATGGTGTAGGTGCAGCTTAGTTTGAGCCTCCCAGATCTTTAAAGGTTCTTTCAACTACGACATACTCCTCTTCAAAGTCGTCAGAAGTCTGTCACTTTGTAGAAAGAATTCTCCAGAACAAAGAGGGATAATTGACTCAAGCTGTGAGAAGTAGTAAACTGCTTTCACAAACTAAATTTTATACTTTTCCATTTAGAATTCCTTTGACTCTCAAGCACCTGCAGTTGTCAAGATCCGAGGATTTTAATGTTTTATCTTTAAATATCTATATTTAAAGAGAACTTTCAATAGGTAGCATCTCAAAACTGCAAAGTGGATGCCAAGAGCTTGCCTTCTCTGCCAGAATCATGAATTATTAAACTACAGAACACCCTTTTTTTCAGCAACAGTTTTATAAGAAAACACCAGCACCCAAAATCTTCTATTTCTTATGATTTCATCTTATGGGGGAAAAGTATTGCAGATATATTTAAATTTTATAATCACGTTAAATGGGGGATGTAATACCCATTATTTAGGGGGTAATGTAATACCCATTAGAGTTGTTGATTAGATTTGAATTGCTAGACACTAGAGATTGCTGATCCTGTCTCAGATTCATACAACAATCAATACAAAGACTGAATAATGCTAACATTTAGATCTGTCCTGAATTATGAAGGTTTCTGTTTGTGATTTTGAAACAATGCATTGGCCGGAGCACAAAATACCACTCATATACTCCCTTGGGCTAAAGAATTTTCAGTAGCTGGTGCTTTTGGCTCGACTTCCCACTGTTCTGTTTTTACAACTCATCCTCCCCAGTGAAGCAGCATTTGATTGGAGACAAGTTGTATCCATAAGACCATCCAGTTTATGATGGTTTTCCTCTTCGGTTAGCAAAGAGCAAAGACTGTAGAACGCAAAACTAGCACTTGTGTGTCAAAACAGGAGCAACTTGAAGAAAACAAGTACAGGCAAAAGAAGAGAAATTGAAGATCATTTTCTTCATCTATCGACTAATATGTCTCGCCCTACACACAGAAGACCAGAATACCATAAAATAGTAAGGCCTTTTTTTTTTAAAAAAAAAGTTATCTCAAGGAGACACTTTTCTATTAAAGAGATAATGCTTTCTTAAGTGATTTTTAATTTATTTTGAAATGTCATTATGTGTAGACTTTCAGTCTACATATAAAAAAAGTGAATGTTTAGTGGAGTGAATCATGAATGATCCTTTGGGAACAGTTGAATGATTGCTTATATACTGTATCAGAATTTTCAGTTACTTATAAATCTGCATATTGGGTCTTCATTTCTGATTAATCATAGCTTTAAAGGCTAAATGTTTTTTTCTGAAAGGACATATGAAAAGAGTAGTAATGCTTTTCATTTCAGATTTGTAACTTGCTATATTCCAAATTTTATTAAGGAGTATATTTTTTATGTATATAAAAGAGTAGATTTTATGTTAAATAGAAATAGGTTATCAAAAAGTCAGTAAAAAATGAATGGCTTTAAAAATACAGTTCAGCTTTTAAAATCTATGTGTTTTCCTCATTTGTTAGGTGCTGCTATCCTCTTTATATCTTCCAAATTCAGGTTTTTTGTGTGTGGTTTGATTTTATTTCTGAGCCACACCCAGTGATACTCGGGCCTTATTCCTGAGACTGCACTCAGGGATCACATATGATGGGGCTCAGGGGACCATGTGGAGTATGGGATCGAACCCTGGGTGAGTTGTTATACTGTCACTCTGGCCCTAAATTCAGTTATTTAAAACAATGATTTGTAGATTAAATTCAGACAACTATTGTTTAATCCTTTCATATCATAATTTAGTCATTTAGAAGTCATAGGTGTGAAAACTCATTATTAAGCTAAAGATTCTATTGTTTCAGAAGCTTTATGGATATTTCATAAAAATAAGCAATTTCAGTCATGGACACTTAAAATTTTTATGATTATTTTGAATACTCAGTTGGAAATGTCTGAAGATGCTCCCTCTGACACTCTAGGATCTAAATTTATTTTTGTGTGGGTCTCTGAAATGTTTTTTTAAAAAATAAACTATACATAGTTTACTTTATTTAAAAAGCATTCAAACACATTTTTATCCTTATATACCCAAACCACTGTAAATAATAGTGTTCTATTTCTCATATATAGAAAACATTTTTATTATTTTTAAGAACTAGAAGGAAAAGTTTATGTTAAACTTCTTGTGATCAGTGGTGTGGATTTGAGTATCATCTGGGTTTGGATGTGAAATAGAATGAAAAACTGTCCTTAATGGGCATTGAACTTGAAATCTGACTATAACTAAAATATCATTATTCACCAATAAGAGAGAGGTACATACAGAAAGAGACAAAGGGAAAGGTCATTACTGCAATTTGGTTTTAATTACATAAGTTGACTCAATGCAAAATTTATGCCTTACAAGTAGCGTAGAATTTTATCTCCTTTTCTTTTTTCCCAAATGATTTTGTTTTACTGACAATAGCAACAATGATATTATCTGTGTTTCTGTCTCTCCTTCACTTTTGCTTCTTTCGTGCTGTGATAGTGGCACATGTTAGTAATCTATCTTCTGCTATGTCTCCCTAGATGTTTTGCAGTTATTCAGGTATTTCATGTATAATTTAAAAGACACTTTTTGGGATTTATAATCAGCTTCTCAAAAAAGTTTAAATAATAACAGAATTAAAATTAAATACATGATGACACTTTAGTGATTAGTTTAACAATGTTTATTTCAAGTCACATTTCACAATCCTTGTTTTCTAGTTTCAATATTAATATTCTCTCTAGTTTCTTATATCTAATGGTACTTATAAGTGACACTAATGTAATGTTAATGTTTAACATATATTCTATGTGCATTTTTTATATTTTTATTTATACTTTCAACAAGAGTTGCATCTATTTCTTCCACATACTATTCAAATTTCAACTATATAAAACTTATTTAATTACAATAAATATTCTACCTGACTACTTGTCATGATTCAAATCTGTTTACAAGGGAGCAAACACAACTAGGCAAATTTCGGAAGTATTTAGATCAAAATTATCTAACATTGAGGGCTGAAGCGATAGTATAATGGGTAGGGCACTTGCCTTGTATGCTGCCAACCCAGGTTTGATCCATCACACCTGATGTGGTCCTCCAGCCCCTCATTGCAGAACCAAGATTAAGTCCCAAATATTTCTGGGTGTGCCCCCCAAACAAACAAAAGAAACTAAATCTAGTATTTTACAAAAGTCACTTTGTTGACAAAAACAATTTTATTGGTTTGTCAAGTCACTTCTAACCATGTTTTTAAAAAAAATCATTAAATACATATTTTCTGTCCATATTATTCCCCACTGTGTTAGGCCCCCCGGGTCTGGAAGTAAGGATTGCTCTTCTAACATGGATTCTTCATTTCATTTCACCTTCTATGAAAATACAAGATTATGTACAAAATGAGATTATTTTCAGCAGTGGTTCCCCTTCCTACACACAAACTTCTACTCTAAACAGTATACCTTCTTCTATGTGCTTCTTAGTCAATATATTAGAGAGAAGCTTGCAGTCTCTGTCTCTTTCCTGACTCTGCCAGTTGCTGGCCAACTTAGCAAGTCATCCATTCCTCCTGAGGCTTCATTCCCTCCACTGTAGGACTGAGAGCAGTCCTAAAAGCTCCTTTTTTCTAAATATTATTCCTTAACAAAAGTAAAACAAGGATTTTTAAAAAATGGATTGACTGAATACTTTCTGTTCTTCAAATTTTTCAACCTACTTATGCTAATTTGTGGCCTGGAGCGATAGCACATTGGGTAGGACATTTGCCTTGGGTCTACCCAGGCTCGATTTCTCCACCCCTCTCAGAGAGCCCGGCAAGCTACTGAGAGTATTTCTGCCTGCACGGCAAAACCTGGCAAGCTACCCATGACGTAGTCCGTATGCCAAACGCAGTAACAATAAGTCTCACAATGGAGACGTTACTGGGCCCGCTCGAGCAAATCGATGAACAACGGGAGGACAGTGTTAACTATGCTATTTTAGACCTAAATTATTCTAGCTTAGTTTCATTTTTAATATATTCCAAAATCTAGGGGATATTTTGGAGAGTTCTAGGGAAATGTGAATTTTCCTTTTTTCTCTTAGTATAAAGAAAAACAAAATCTCACAAATTGGCTTCCACAGTTAAATTCATCATTATGGTCTCTTTGGAAGATCTGGAGCTTATTAAGGATTGTGTAGACTCATAAGACATCTCATTCAATTATTTCTTATAACTAAATCATGGTCGGCATATACCAAGGACATTCTAGAACAATAAGAATTTATAGATATAGGCTTGTTATTTTTTAGGGCAAAAAACCCACCAAACAAACAAAAAAAGCCTCTTCTTCCATGAAATTGTGTTGCAGGTTATATAATATAAGTAAATGCATAAGAAATTAACTTTATTCTGTAACTCCTCATTCACTTACTCTCCAGCAATGTTTCCAAATGTGGATTCAATATCTATGCCAGAGTGGAACTGTTTCAATTATTAGAAAAAAATCAAGAGAAGATCAGAAAACAGTTTTTAACAATGAAGCTTGGTTTTAAAAATATTTAGGGTCAGAGATAGTACATTAGGTAAGTATGAGATGTACCAGGGATTTCCTCTTCCCCGCAGCACATGTGGTTGGGCCCCAGAGACCCACCAGGAGTGATCCTTGAGAAAAAAAAAACAGGATTAGGTCTCCAAGCAATACTGGGTGCAGTCCAGCCCTGTCCTCCAAAGAGGAAATATATACTTTACCTATAAAATAAAATCATCCTTATTTCCTACAGAACAAAGATCTCTTTGTCCTCACCTATGGAGCTCTGGTTGCCCAACTTTGTAAGGATTATGAAAAAGATGAAGATGTAAATAAATATTTAGATAAAATGTAAGTATATGCCTTTCATTCATATGAAATTCATATGAAATACTTCATTCTATCTTAACATTCTCTGCATTTTGTTTGCATTTAATGACTATTTTTGTTCAATTTCACCAGTTCTTCTCCAGAATATGTTTATAGATGAACACAGTTTCTTTCAGCTTCTATTTGGGCTAATGTTATAATAGTATGAAATCCTATTTGGGCTAAAAGTATGAAATCTCCAACCATGAAGATTAAGTTTGAAATTTTCTGGTATTAGAAATTATTTCTTTGTTAATTGCTTATCTGAAATTTAATGTTGTTAGTTATTACATTTCTTTCTATTCAGAATTTTGTTCTGGCATAACATTCTGACATGAATAGATATTTACATAAATGAAGACCAATTGTGGAAGGATATGCAAAAAATCCCTGTTGATAAAGAGAATCAGGAGACTAGGAATAAGGAATAGAAGGGAGCTTTACATTTTCTTGTTTAGTGCTTTTATTATTTGAATGCTTTTATCATTAATATGCTTTCCTTTTAAGACCTGCTAAATAGGAATGAGGAAGATAGTTCAAAGGCTTACAGCATAAGCTTTTCATGCTAGAGGCCTAGCACCCACTCTTCCACCCCCTCATCCCTCCACACACCCATCACTGAGCCAGAAGCAGCCACTGAGCATCATCACCTGGTGTGGTCTAACAAACACAAAACAAACAAAAAGCCATATTAAATATAAAAGCACACCTTCCTTTATCAATAAAGCCCATTATTCTTATATTTATTAATAGAGTTTCCTCTTGCCTTTTAATTTTGTCAGAATAATTATGATTTTCAGGTTATTGTCCAATAAGAAAGTGTGTTTATACTTTGAACCTCTTGATTAGAGATATTAAAAAGGACTTTAATAGGAAATAACTAAAAAAAATACTGAAAAAGAAGACTTAAATAGATTAAAAGAAAAATTAAACCTAGTTCAGAATTTTAAGACTTTTTAAAAATAGATTAATTATGTTTTCAGTGGAGTACAGAAAAGAAACAAAGAAAACTTGAAAATATTTTTAAAACCCTTAATTTCTCATGCTTATGTCTTTTTTTAGTTGTAAGCTCTTATTTATTGTTCTGTGAGTATTTTGGTCCATAAAGGTAAAAGGTAAAGGCCCTCCCGTTGATCGTCGATTTGCTCGAGCGGGCCCAGTAACGTCTCCATTGGAGACTTTGTTGTTACTGTGTTTGGCATATCGAATACTCTCGGTAGCTTGCCGGGCTCTCCGAGAGGGGCAGAGGAATCGAACTCGGGTCGGCCATGTTGGCCGCTTGTAAGGCGAATGCCCTACCGCTGTGCTATCGCTTCAGCCCATGAAATGGTTTATTTTATTTATTTGATTTCTTTTAAAGACTAGTAATATGTCCTCAGCCAAACTTTGGGTTTTTTAAAAATAAACCTTTTATTGAGGTATTGTGATTACAATAGCATTAACGGTGGCTTCATGCATACATTGTTCCAAAGACATATTGGATACTGAGTCCACGATTCCCTACACCAAGTCCCAAAGACCCCTCCTTCTTAACACCCCAAGCCCCTGAAGCTTCAATCTGAGGACCAGTTCTGAACTGTGGAAAGTATTTAAACTCTTTTATTTATGTCACACTTCAAACATGCTGAATAGTATTTCTAGGGGTTATAGCATTTTATTTAATGCTACATTTGCATTTTTTGTGTGGAACCACTATAGAAAATAAAAAACTTACTTGACTAAAAAAATCTTTGATTAGATACACGAGGCTCGGTTCTAATAAATTCATATTTATATTTATATTTAATATGATTCTGATATTAAATCACAAACTTGGCCAAGAGCATTGATTCATTCGAATGCCTAACAACCCAAATCAGACGTTTACATTTGAATAAGATGTGACTCACTGCCTGCAGTTTCTATCTTCTTTGTCTACGCACCAACATCTCATTATGATGAAAGAGAAATCGAGAAGTTCTACATGGAGCTAGAGAAGTTCTATAAAGAAGACCACACCTTCTACAAGATCATTGTGGGTGATTTTAATGCCAAGATAGGACCGAGAAGATCAGCTGAAGAACTTCACATCGGGACCCATAGCCTAGAATGGAACGAACAGGGTGAGAGACTGTCTGAGTTCATCATGTCCACCAAGACCATTCATGGTAACTCACAGTTCCAGAAGGCAGAATCTAAACAATGGACATGGGAGTCTCCCGGTGGACGATTCCACAATGAAATAGACCACATCATATTCAATCGACGGTTTTGCCTGACTGATGTAGCTGTTGTCCCAAAATTTCGAACGGGATCGGACCACCGTCTCCTTCGTGCAAAATTCTACTTCACAGAGCGGGGAGAAAGGGCTGCAAAGTTCAAAAAGAGAACTCCCAGAATGACCACCAACTGGGAACTCTTTGGTACCATTGCGGCAACATGGGAAGATGCCATTGTTGACAACATTGACAAGGAATACGATCGACTGGTTCAGCACCTCCATGAATGTGCGAGGAACGCCAAGAGAGAGATAGCCACAAAAAATCGCCTATCTTCGAAAACTCTTGAGCTAATTCGCCAACATGGTTTGGCGCATGCCTCAGGCAACCTGAAGCTGACGTCCGAGCTTGCAAAGCAGTGCAGAGATGCGATCAAGGAAGACCTCAAAGAGAGAAGAGCAGAAGTACTGGTAGATGTGGCAGAAGCCGGGAAAAGTATTCGTAAAGCCCGCCTGTCCTTCGCCAACTATAAGACCAAGATGACTGCCCTCCGACGTCCTGATGGATCCATCACATCCTCCAGAACGGCAATGGAGAAGATTATCCATGACTTCTACTCAAATCTCTTCGATAGCCATGTCCACTTGCCGACATACCAAATTCCACAGGATGGGTATGTCGTTCCCAACGTTCTCCCTTCCAAAATCCGACACGCCATTTCGTCGGTAAAGAAACAAACAGCACCCGGCCCAGACAAGGTCAGACCTGAACACCTGAAGAACCTGCCGTCAGTACTCATCAATACACTGGCTCGGCTCTTCACTCGCTACCTGTCTGAATGCAAGGTTCCGTCCCAATGGAAAACCAGCAGGACCGTACTACTGTTCAAGAAGGGAGACATCCATAACATTGGCAACTATCGCCCGATCTGCCTATTGTCTGTCATCTACAAGTTGTTCACTCGAGTCATCCTAAATAGGATTAGCAGAACACTGGATGAAGGACAACCATGCGAGCAAGCCGGGTTCCGCAAAGGATTCAGCACCATCGACCATATCCACACAATAACCAAGCTCATTGAGGTTTCTCGGGAGTTCAAGATGCCGCTCTGTTTAACGTTCATTGATTTAAAGAAGGCCTTTGATTCTGTTGAGACGGAAGCGGTCATTGAAGCCCTAGCCAATCAGGGCATTCAAGCCCAATACATCAGGATCCTCCATGAGCTGTATTGCGGATTCACTACCAGGATCTCACCATTCTACAAAGAAGTGATCGTTGATGTCAAGAGAGGGGTGCGGCAGGGTCATACCATTTCACCGAAACTCTTCAGTGCCATCCTCGAGAACATCATGCGACGACTGGAATGGGAAGGAATGGGAGTGAAGATAGATGGTCGGCAACTACACCACCTCCGCTTCGCTGATGACATTGTTTTAATAACACCAAACATCAGCCAAGCGGCACAAATGCTGGCCGACTTTGACCGTGAGTGTGGAAAGGTAGGACTACAGCTGAATCTTACGAAGACAATGTTTATGAGAAACAGCCTTGTTCCTGACGCCCCATTCTCTCTCAACGGAACAACCATCTCCGAATGCAACAGCTATGTGTACCTAGGTCGAGAGGTCAACATGACAAATGACCTGGCACCCGAGCTGCGCAGGAGGAAGAGAGCGGCTTGGAACACCTTCAAGAACGTCGAAGAAATAGCTTAGAGGACGAAGAACCTCTGGCTCCGGGCACATCTCTTTGATTCCACTGTTCTTCCTGCATTAACATATGCCTCAGAGACCTGGGCCCTACGCAAACAGGATGAGAATGCTATTCAGTTCTCCCAAAGAAGAATAGAAAGAGCTATGCTTGGAATATCACGTTTCACTCAAATGAGAGAGAGAATCCGGAGTTCTGACATCCATCGACGATCAAGAAGCAGGGACGCTGTCTCATATGCCAAGGTGTCGAAAATCAGATGGGCTGGTCACGTAATGAGATTTAAAGACGACCGCTGGACTAGAGCTGTTACCGACTGGATTCCACGGGATGTCAAAAGACCGCGTGGCCACCCACCTTCCAGATGGTCAGACTTCTTCGTCAAGATCATGAACGATCGGTTTGAGGCCCTTCATGTTCCCGGAGCGAACAGATGCCATTGGGCTACACTAGCACGCGACAGGGACAAATGGAGACGTTACTGGCGCCCGCTCGAGCAAATCGAGGACTAACGGGAAGTTAAGTGATTAAGTGATTAAGTGATGATTCTGATGGAGTGATAGCACAGCGGTAGGGCGTTTTCCTTGTGCGCTGCCAGTCCAGCCCAGCTGAGTTCGATTCCTCTGCCCCTCTTGGAGAGCCCGGCAAGCTACCAAGAGTATCTCGCCTGCACAGCAAAGCCTGGCAAGCTACCTGTGACGTACTCAATATGCCAAACACGGTAACAACAAGTCTCAAAATGGAGATGTTACTGGGTCCACTCGAGCAAATCGATGAACAATGGGAGTTCAGTGTTTTTTTTATTATTCTGATAATAGTATCTTATATTTTTAATTTTATATATAAAATATTTGCTTTGTAGAAACATGCCCTTTGATCAAGAAAGTACGTGTGTGTGTATACATATATATATTACTGACCATAATTTTCTGACTTTCCATCATGGTTATCATTTCTAATGACCAGAACTATGGATATGCATAGTGTAGAGAATGTTGGAAGCATTTTTAAAATCCTGGTACAACTGTATTTGTAAAAATAGCATTCTGTTATTTTCAGTTGAATATCCTGGTTAAAATTACAAAACTGTTTTTCTTGAAAATTATAAAGCTAAGTGGAACATTTCAATCATTCAGAAATATAAACAGACTAGTTCAAAAGTTTAATGAATTAATGATCTCTCTGGTATCAGTTCTGGTTATCCTATCAAACCCTCAGTCACCAAATCTTCCCTCTTTTTGAACTGTCATGTCTTTTCTATAAACTGCCATTCTGTCTGTCAGAACATCCATAGGTTTATCTATATCCTTTCACTTTTTACCTGAAGCTATGAAATTAAAAAGACAATTTTATGCTGGTAGTTTTGTGAAATCAGTCTTCTCATTTCCATCATGAGATACCATTTTCTTAAGACTGGAAAAATAATGCAGGTTCGGATACTTGCCTTTCTGAAATTGACCCCATTTCCATCCAAAGACTGCATATGATCCCTTGAGTACTTCCAGAAGTGATTCTAAGCAAAAAAAACAAAAATAATCTCTGGGCACTGATAGGTGTAACCCACTCCCTACCCCGCCCCCCACCACCCTTTCTCTCTACCAAAGCTCCTATTTCCTTAATCAATTTAAATCTTTAGGTTTATCTTGTTGAAGGTGTCTGTTCAGCAATCCTGGTCACAGATTCAGTTGTATTATTATATTTCAATAAAATGCTATCATAATTGTACGTGAGTTACTACTTACTTACTTGCTAGAGTAGAACTACAAAAAAATACAAACACCCTCTTGCGAGTTCCATAGATTCAGTTTCTTGGAATGAAACATGAATTTTCCACATCTCACTGTTTTCTTTGCATTGAATTTCAATTCTGACTGCTAAAACTACCAGTGGTAACATAAACTGATTTCTCTATTCCCTTCTTTCCTTCCTCTAGAGTCAATCTCAGATATACCTGCCCTGCTACCATAATATTTATACCAAAATAATAAAGATCCCAGATACTACATTTGTAACAGACACGTTAACTAGACCCTTTCTGTTTGTGTTATTGGGCAAAGATGAGGAATTAAATTTACTGTGAGAGACATTGGGCTGGAGCGATAGCACAGCGGTAGGGCGTTTGCCTTGCACGCAGCCAACATGGCTGACCCGAATTCGATTCCTCTACCCCTCTAGGAGAGCCCGGCAAGCTACCGAGAGTATCTCGCCCTCACGGCAAAGCCTGGCAAGCTCCCCGTGACGTATTCGATATGCCAAACACAGTAACATCAAGTCCCACGATGGAGATGTTACTGGGCCCGCTTGAGCAAAATCGATGAACAACGGGAGAACTGTGACTGTGAGAGACATTAGACTGCACATACCAACATCCTTTAGTTTTAATTTCCACTGTCAAGTTTGATCCAACCTTTATTAACCTTTATACCACTAAGACTCTACTACTTGTGAGATACTAGTTTTATTTCCTAGATGTGGTGCTCTCTGTTTCCATGATCTGTGGAAACAAATAAAGGAACCATTACCAAATAGTTATTGACACATTTGGTTTAAATTGTTACTAGTGTCAGTGGTACATAGAAGAATCTATTCTAAAGCAGCACTGTAGCACTGTCCTCCCTGTTGTTCATTGATTTGCTGATTTGCTTGAGTGGGCACCAGTAACATCTCCATTGTGAGACTTGTTGTTACTGTTTTTGGCATGTCAAATAGCCACGGGGAGCTTTCCAGGCTCTGCCATGCGGGTAGGATACTCTTTGTACCTTGCTGGGCTCTCTGAGAGGGACGGAGGAATCGAACCTAGGCTGACTGCATGCAAGGCAAATGCCCTACCAGCTGTGGTATCGCTCCAGCCCTATTCTAAAGAACTGACTTCAAATTACTCAGACATTGTTTTTAGACCATACTCTTTCTTGGATTCACAGGGGATATGGCATTGGAACACGTCTGGTAGAAGACTTTTTGGCCCGATCCTGTGTAAGAAGATGTCATAGTTATTCAGAAATTATAGACATAATTGCTCAGGTAAATGCATTTTAAAGGACTGTCTATAAATTTTTAAAAAAACATTTTATTTTTCCTAAGTCTGATGGTTACTCAAAGTGAACAGATTCATTATTCATTATTAGGCGTAAGAGAGAGGTTGCAGACAAAATTTCACTTTATTTAAGCACAGAGATAAAGCTGTTGTGAACAGAAATCAATGCTTTCAGGCATTTAAGCATCTATGGATTTTTCTGACCACAAAGAATGTGTGAAGCATTTTTTGTCCATTGGAAAAAAATGTTTTAATAAGATAAAAAAAATGGAGTATAATAAAAAATGTGCAAAAAGTTAATTAATTTTCTTTTATAATAATTTTACCACATGGGAGAGCATACTCTGCTTGTCTCAGAGAATATTGCTGTATCATTCCCTGCACCCCAACAAAACAATGCTTTTACAGGAAAAAAATTTAGCTTCCTATAGATGTTTATATTCTAATAATGTCACAGCCCTCAACTATGAATCTATCAACTTAGACTCTTCTGAAGTAACTTAAATTTATTAGATACAAAATTAGGTCACAAATCCTTGGCCAGGATTCCTTTCATCTTTGGGTTCACAGTTATTAACTTATAGTTGTTATTTTGCGAAGACCTAGGAACTTTTGTGCTTGTGAAATATTTATGAGGATAAGTATTTACTGTCTCTTGATTCTCACAACTGAAAGTCAGTCTCATTCTTTTGATGTTTTTTGTTGTTGTTGTTGTTGTTGTGCCACAATTGACTGCGCTCAAAGATGCTCCTGGTAGGGTCAGGGGGCCATATGGGGTGCCGTGTTTCAAACCCAGGTTGGCCATGTGCAAGGCAAGTTTCCTACCCATTGTACTATCTCTCCTGCCCCTAATAGTCAGTCTCATTCACTTTTCTCCAGTGTTTAATATTGCTAAATATTGCCAAACTGACTTTTCACATAAATAAAATTATAGTTTTACAGTGTTTTGTGATTCTAAATTCAACTGTACCAAATATATTCTTTTGTAATATACTTTAGAGTTTCCCCACGAAAAGACAGAGTAGAAATTAGGTTCCCATTTTTTAGATAAGAAAATCACAGGAAAAAACATGATAGAACTGAATAATATTCCATGTAAAATTATATATTCCAAAAACACAGTCCAGGCACCAGAGAGATAGTATAGTACAGGATGGATTGCCTTGGAAGAGGTCAATCCTGGTTTGATTCCTGGAACCCCATATTGACCCCCAAGCCCACCAGGAGTGATTCCAATCCCGAAGCACAGAGCCAGGACTAAGCATTGAGCAAAGCTGTGTGTGACCCAAAACCAGAAACAAAAACAAAACGGAAACACAACCCAACTATATATGTTATTATTTACCATTATTATTACTTTTTGCTCGAAAAAAGGTAAAGGCCCTCCCGTTGATCGTCGATTTGCTCGAGCGGGCCCAGTAACGTCTCCATTGGAGACTTTGTTGTTACTGTGTCTGGCATATCGAATACTCTCGGTAGCTTGCTGGGCTCTCCGAGAGGGGCGGAGGAATCGAACTCGGGTCGGCCATGTTGGCCGCTTGTAAGGCGAACGCCCTACCCGCTTTAAAAGAAAAAAAAACAGCACAGCGGTAGGGTGTTTGTCTTGGGCGCAGCTGCTGGCGGAGCCGGTTCGATTCCTCTGCCCCTTTGGGAAAGCCCAGCAAACTGCCGAGAGTATCTCGCCCGCTCGGCAAAGCCTGGCAAGCTACCCGTGACACATTCGATATGCCAAACACAGTAACAACAAGTCTCATGATAGAGGCGTTACTGGGCCCACTAGAGCAAATTGATGAACAATGGGAGGACAGTGACAGTGACAGATTATTACTTTTATTATTACATGACTAGTGAGTTATGTGATTAAAGTTACAATATGGGTCTTAAGTCTTAAAGGAGTGAGTTTTTTATACTGCTAAACATTTAAAAATATTTTTAAATTTAAATAATATAACTATAAACTTTAAGCAGTATTTTAAAAATTAAATCATTTTTCACTAAGTCAGTTTTGTGACTGACAATACTATAAAATACTAGCTATCTTTATCAAAAGTAAATAGTTGAAATAAATGTTAATGATTGTGTTTAACTTTGGGGTTTTAAAATGCTGCTGGAATTTCGATAGAATTTATTTGATATGTATTTATAAACATGAATGTAGATGTCTTTGAACAGTATATACATTTGTACAATGTTGTTTTCCAGTCTATAAAAAAAGGGAAAGTTTTATTTGTTTATTGTTTACTTCCTTTATCAATATTTTATAGTTTTTGGCATACAAGTTTTTCCAGAGTTTAGTCCTAGGTATTTTTTTCTTTTCTGAAGCTATGTTATTTTATTCTTTTTGTAAATGAAATTTCTTTCTAAATTTCTAACTTTAAATAGTTCATTGTTAGTGTTAGAAGCACAACTGATTTTTGTATGTTGAGTTTGTATCTGCAACTTTACTGAAATTCTTAATTGTAACAGTTTTTTCAGGAATCCTTCAGGTTTTTCTATATAGAAGGGCCTATGATCTGCAGATCATTTTACTTTTTTCCAATTTATATGCTTTTAAAACCTTTTTCTTGCCTACTTTTCTGGATAGGACTTTATTGACTAGAAGTGGCAACGGTAAGAAAATTTACCTTGATGATAGAGGAAATGATTTCTGTTTTTCACCATTGAGTATAACAATGAAGAAAGGACAGTGTCTCCTACACATGGTGCTAAAACTAAACCTATATATTCATGTTCAAAAAATATATGGTCAAACTATTTTTACACTCATCTGTCGGTGCTTTGCTTATAATTACCAACTTTTATTAAAAGGTCTGCCCTTCAGCATTATTGTGACATTAATCCTTGTAAGCACTCTTTATAGGAGGTAGGTGTCAAATGTCACAGCCCCTTGGTTTTATAGACATGAAGATTAAGGTCAAGGAAGTTTATCATAGCCACATGCTGACCTTGAATGATAGCAAAGTCAAGAGTAGGAGCTAATGGTTGTGACTTTTGCTTGTTTACTCTTTCAGACATTATACAGAACATCATTATCATCCTTCTCAAATACTTATATACCATAACCGTCAGAGAAATCACAATATCTGTGCTTGATCTTGAGAAGGAGAGAGAAGGGAAAAGGAAAGAATGCTTTTGAAGATAATTAAGCAAAGAAACCTATGCCCAGAGAAGTTCAGTGAAAGACTGACTTTATACCATGCTTTACAATCTTTTCCTTCTGGAGAAGAATGACAGTATAATTTCAGATCTTAATATTTTCATCTATTTTTCTTAAAGTTGCCTTCTTGGGTATTTCATTACCCCATATAGCAGTTTGAAAAGAAATGCCATGATCATAGTAGAGGAGCTCCCTGATAGAGTATATGCTTCAGCTGAGGAGAGAAAAATCCTCTGACAGATGGATAGATGTCAAATCATTGATTATAAACAAGCAAAAGCAAATCAAAAATGTAAAAAAATTTTAGAAAAAGATCACATTTTACCAAAAGAAGAGATGGTAGGTTAATTTACATTCATCTTCCTACAACATTAAAACACATCCGTTTTTTAAACATGATTCTATCATATCAAAGTCTACTTCTTATGTGATTGACTCAAACAGCAACTTTTTTTGTTTTGTTTTGAGGCACCACTTAGGGGTGGTCAGGGTTTACACCAAATTCAGTTCTCAGAGATCACTCTTGATGTGCTTCGGGGAACTATATAGGATGTCAGAGCTCGAACCCAAATTGGTCATATGCAAGGCAAGCACCCAACCTGCTGTACTAGCTATCCAACCCCTCAAATGGCAATTTTTATTTTATGCATTAGTAATTTTATTTATTAATTATTTTAACAATAAGTATTATTTATTAATTGTTTTAATAATGATTCAACATTATTATTATTTTAATAAATTTTGTTTGTTATTAATCGTTTGGGTTTTCTATAACAGTATTTTAACTGCAGTGTTGCTACACCATGCCCACAACTGTGGAGCCAAGATCCTCCATCCCTTCCACTCCACCCTACACAAACCCTCAGATCATAGTTCTATTGTCCATAACGCAGGGATTTTTTTAAATTGGGGATTCTCTAAAACCCTAATTTGTTTCTTTATACTTTGAAAATGAGTGAAATCATCTGACATTTCTCTTTTTCTTTCTGGTACTTTCCTTAGCATTCCAACAAATTCCAGCCTAGTTTCAACAAGCTGTAAGATATCATCTTTTCCCATAGCTGAGTAGCATTGTATGTACCACAGTTTCCTTTTCCACTCATCTGTTATTGGACTCTTGGGTTGTTTCCAGTTCTTATCAATTATATATAATGCTACAATGAATGTAGAAATACAAATGACCTTTTGGATTAATGTTTTTGTGCTCTTGGGGTAGTTTTCCAGGAGTAAAATTAAAGGATCATATGGATGCTCAGTTATTAACTTTTTGTTAAAGCATCCAATTTATTTTCCAAAGAGGTTGAACCAAGCAACAGTCTCATCAGCACTGAATAAGAGTTCCATTTTTGTCATATCCCTGTCAGTCTTTATTGTTTCCAGAGTTTTTAGTGGAAACCCATATTCACAGTGTGAAATGCTACCTCATTGTCATTTTGATTTACTTTTACCTGATAATCAGTGATGATGAACACTTTCTCCTATGTCTGAACACTTTCCTTTTTATGACATCTTTGGGGCATTTCATTTGTCTCTCCCAATATTCTGGTACTATTAAAATTTTTTTAATTGAATCACTGTAAGATATGCAGTTACAGAGTTGTTCATGATTAAGTTTCAGTCATAATGTTCTAACCCATCCCTCTAGTGCACATTTCCCATCACAATCAATGTCCCCAGTTTCCCTCCCACTACCCCCTCCCCAGCTCTGCCTTACATCCTGCCTGCCTTCTCTCTCTCTCTCTCTCTCTCTCTCTCTCTCTCTCTCTCTCTCTCTCTCTCATTTTTCTTTAAGGCACTGTGGTTTGCAATATTGTTACTGAACGGGTATCA